GACCTGGAGTCTCAGTGTCTGAGCGAGATCTCGGCCATGCTCAGCGGAGAGATCCCCGGGGACGAGCTGGGGGACCTGTTCTTCGACTGCGTGGACACAGAGATCAAGTTCTACCAGTGAGAAGGTGGGCAGGAACCGGCCAGGGAGCCCAAAAGTTCAGATTCTACCAGACTTAAACGCTAAAGAGATTAGTTTTTAAAAACTGCCCAAAAAATGAACACGCTGTGCTTTGATGACGCGCCTCTTTTAGAGGTTTTTAGGGTTAACCCTACAATGCCAAATGTGTCATATCTGATCCGGTTTCTTTTGGATGTGAGACTTTGTGCATCATTCAGTGGTAAAAGCTTTGCTCAAACCCCTGTTGTACACATTCACATATACCTGATAACAGCCAGTAGAAGACTACACCAACATATATTTCTGACTTATTGCACGCTCATTTGATCAAAATAATTTCTGTTTTTTTTTCCATATGTTGTTGAGGGGCCAAAGAAAGACTTCAGACTAAAAAAATCCAATATTCCTCCTATTTTTCTTGGATCAGGCTTTAAAGGGTTAACGGATGTACAGAAAAGTCGACTTTTTACATGGAAAAACATTTTATTCTCACCAGGTCTTAAAGGCCTGAGATGAACACACATGGCCCATTACATATTTTTGATTTATTAAACAATAGTTGAGTTCATGGTGGACTCCTATCAGAGGCAGCCCAGACCACCATCCTTCCCCCGCCGTGCTTACAGCTGCTGTCAGGAGTCAGCACACCCATTCGGCCCGTTTCTGACCGGGCTGTCCTGACCTTTGACCTGTGAGGACCAATCAGAGCTCTGACAGCCACAAATCAGACCCAGCTTTTTTAGTTTTGATTCAGATATTGTTCAACTACATTTCAAGAACTTTAAATGACACTTTTTTCATACCGAGGGGATTGAATGAAGAGGTACTAGCTAGAGGAACTGGCTGTTTTTGGGCTTTCGGGGGGAGAGGGGGTTTATGGGTCTGTAAAAGAACATCAACGGAGCTTTTTCCGGTCATTTTTCCGGTCATTCTGGTGTCTTTCCTCCTGGACGTTAGCACGCAGCTGGATGCTAACAGAGCTAACGTTTGCTCCCAGAGAGCTGCTCACTCTGACTGAGGACCAATCAGAGCTCTGAAAGCCTCAAATCAGACCCAACTTTTTTAGTTTTGATTCAGATATTGTT